CTTTCCAAGGGTAGTTCGTATTGACAGGGTAGTTTCCGGTGGCAACAAAGGGCGGCAATAGTTTTTGTAAATGGCTATAAATGAAACGTAAACTTTTTAAATCAAATTTAACGTGGCTTTTTAAGCTTGATTGGAGATATAAGTTATGACAATTTTAAGGGTTGTTGACAGGGTGTCTTCCAATAGTGACAAAAGATCCGAATGTTTTTTAAAAATCAGTATAAAAGTAATGTTAACAACCTATGTCAAATATATGGTGGTACGGGTCTAATTTTCTAAAATACATGTAACTAAGTTTTAAGGGTGGTTAATATGTGGGGTGGCTTCCGATGATGGGGAAGTGTTGTTTTCGTCTACAGAAGCCAGAATTTAGGTGGTAAAATCATTTTAAGTACGATTAAACGTGATATTATGGGTTTTCATTTTCGTTCAAACGAACGTTCGGAACTTCAGGTACATAGTTCCGTTTTTCCCCATATATAGTAAAATAATGAATCTTTTATTATTTTTAGAATTCTCTTCGCTCTGTGTATGAGTCTATGAAAAATGATCTTAAGAAGTTGGAAGACAATTGTAGACAATCTATGCTTGACAAAAGAGTACAGAACTACTGTCAAAACATAACACAATTTTTAAATGCAAGGATAAATTTAATTGACTTGTATCCTTTAATATCTATTTCCAGACTATTTTTATTAGGCATGTGCCATTGTGGACTGTTAATGGTTGTGGATTTTGAGCTGCAAGAATGGTTGTTTAGTTTATTTTACATTGAAATAAGGATGACAAACTGACAACAGAGAGAAAACAGATTTCTGTTAACTTCAAATATGTCATTTATTGGTTGTAGTAGGGGCATCGATTTAATAGTATACTTTTTTAGATCTATGAGTAGGAGTTGCTTACTTTTTTGTGATGATAGATTATGGGAATAGCTATTTTTGAATGTCGGAGATTTTAGATGTTTAGTATAATTAAAACAAAAAATATGTATAATATAACTAATACCACTGATTTTATAAGCTACTCGATTATACTCTGTGGTCGAAACTATAGAGAGTAACTCATCGCTAGCTTTAGGACTAGTAAGAGGGATGAAGCGTGCAGAAAACGAAAATCCATTGGCGTGTCTGCATAAAAGCCAACACGATATATAATGATGATACTTTTCAAGCATTCCACCAAAAATCCTAAGGAAATGTATTCAAAATTAACATGGGTTGGGTTATAGAAAATAATTTGCCAATATCGGGAATACTGAAATTAACGTGCACGTCGGATTGGCAGTAAATAGATAAATTTCCAACCAGTATGATTGTCAGTACCTAGATAGTTTGAAGTCGGTTTGAAAATCGGCAATAATTGCTAACTGAGAATATTTTTCTTAACAATCTTTTAAACATGTAAAAGGTATGAAAAGATTTACAATGTTGGTTTGAACAAACAGCTGCGTTATATTGAACTACAGAATTTAATTGAAACCGTTATAAAAAGAAACGAATTAGGTTTTACAGATATAAGTTTGACTCCAGTTAGAGCAATTTTTAGCTTAGAATGTGAAATTTTAGAACAGCTTTTCAATGCTCTTACAGAATTACAAAGATTGCAGTTTTTACCATCATTGGCACTCATTCATGGATCTCACACAAGATTATGTGCTTGGGAAAGTAAAATCCAAAGCCGTGAGGTAACAAAGAAATATGCTCAATTGAAATAGTTTATTTATACCATGTTGCAGATATGGAAATTGGGTATAGTTTTCAAAAACAGTCCTTTACCAGCATTGTTTCAGTGGTTCCTAAAACTTAAAGGAACAGTTTTAAGTAAATTTAGTTTATATTTTCATGATACTTTGGCACAGCAAACTACTCCAAATGAAATGAGACATTTGTGTTCAAAACTGCATTATGATCATTATCAGAAGTGAGTAAAAACTTATAATAGCTATTTTGTATTCTAGGTTCTAAAATGGTTGGTTTGTTTAAAGCATTTCTTAGTTGAGTATGAAATAACATTTTTTTGAAAACTGTATTTTAAAATTAGTAAAAAAATGTAAAAAGTGAAAAGAAATTTTGACTAGAGATTCATTAATTTGATATCTAATGTTCTTCATAATATTAATGCATGTAAATCGTTTTGCATAATTGCTTAGTTAAATTACAATTGGAACTTGGCACATTCATTATTAAATAATTGTTAAAATTAACGTAATATATAAACGTAATAAAAGACAAAGCAAATTAAAAATTATGGCTGTCTTTTTAACAAACATTTGAAGGATGTATAATAATAATGATAATGTCAATGACAATGACAATGACAATAACAATATCAATAACAATAAAAATAACAATAATAATAATAATAAATAAGACAGGAGAGTATAGAGGAGGAATTGTCAAAAAGAATATAAGAAGATTAAATTATTACCAGCTAATTAAAGTATCAAAGACGAGAGGAGAAGTTATTGAGAACCTGAATGAAAAGTTTCTGGAGATAAGAATTTGTATTGGAAGAAAGTAACAGGAGATACGGATAACGAAAAACGTAAATATTAAAAAGGTTAGATTATTAAAATTGTCTGAATTATCCTAGCCAAGAATAAAAGATTCGAGGGGTACGAGAGACCAGGGGAGAGCTAGAAGTCCCATCTAGCATATATCGACAATCACCAGGAGAGAGTACGTAGACGCCTAGAAGGGAGAGGATATAAGCAACGCTACAGAGAGAAAGTACCGACGTAAGAAATCAAGGACAGTGTAAGAAAGAAGGATTGTTGATCGGTCTGAAGTGAGTGACAATAATAATTATAAGAATAGAATAAGTACATGTTTGTAGCATAGAATTAAGATAGAGCAGGTTAAATTAGGGAATAGAAAAATTTAATAATTTATTTGTCATCATAAATATCAATAGAAAGTTTGAACCCAGATCACACTATATTATTTAATTTTATTCAGTTTAATCTAAGAANTAATTATAATTATAATATAATAATATAATAAATAATACTAATCGTAATCGTAATCCTAATGATAATGATAATGATAATAATAATAATAATATAAATAATAATAAAATTGTCTTTATTTCCAAACAAGAAATATTTAATACATAGTGTCAATAAATATAGATGAAGTGTCAGTTTAACTGTTTTTCAACTTAAGACGGCGATTTCTGCCACCAGGGATATTTTGGCGCTAACATCGCTTAAAATTATTAAATTGTAATATATAGCTAGGATAAGAACCTCACTATGCTGCAGTAAAATCAAAATAGGTATGACTTTTGAACAAAAGGTGACACAGGTATACCGCGTGGAATTAATGTCAACTCGTTATACATTTATGTGTAACGTCGGTTGCAGTTAAGTACAAAAGGATTTTTGTACGTGGTCCAGAAGCCGAGATATCAAAGATTTTGCAAGCGCGAGCCATTTAGAATGCACGTCTTCAGTTTCCAGAGCGAGCGCGCGTCTGTACGCATCACANAGGATTTTTGTACGTGGTCCAGAAGCCGAGATATCAAAGATTTTGCAAGCGCGAGCCATTTAGAATGCACGTCTTCAGTTTCCAGAGCGAGCGCGCGTCTGTTCGCATCACATTTTACTTATTTACTAATACTAATACAAAATCAGTGAATTGTGAAACATTCTATTATTTTTTTCTTGAAAATTTAAGTAGGTACTCAATATTAACCTCCATCAAACGCATCTCTGTAAAATGTTAATTACGTCCTCTAGATTTTTAAATAAAAAAGTTACCTCGGATTCAGAAGTCATAGAAAAACTTTTTTTTTTAATTCGAGAAAAAATGTTAGCAATTTCTTATAAATGTTAGAAATAAGCAAAATCAAAACAAATTTTTAGGTTGGGTCCGACTGAATACTTACCTGGTTCTATGTTCAGTGCAGAACGTAGTTCTGTGGTTGAGAGGGAATAAGGTTAGAATATAAGGTTAAGTTTTTGTTGGGAATAAATGGAATAAAGTGTGTGTCGTACTTTGCATTATTATTAAAAGAAAACCTAAAATAAAAGGCCAATATAACAGAAATATCAACAGGTTATGGGCCCAGATTGCTCCGCTAATAAAATAAAAATATAAAATAGTAAAAATCTAAGAAGATGGCGATGGAATTAGAAGATCACGTGCAAATAGAGAAACTAGTGGATGAAAGTTCCTATCAAATTTGGAAGTTTCAAATAACTGTAACATTGAAGGCCCACAGTCTATTTGAAATTGTAAATGGAGACAGTAACGTGGAAAATTTAACTGAAGCAAATGCAATACTAGAATGGAACAAAAAAGATGCCAAAGCGCAGAAGATCATAGTAACATCAATCGATAAGCGGAATATAGTTCATATTATGGATTGCAAAAACTCGAAAGAAATGTTTGACAAAATTAAAAACATCTATGAGAAAAGTTCAACAGATCAAATCTGTAGCCTTCTGCAAGAATTTTATGGTTGTAGATACAAAAAAGGTTCCGATATGAGTATACATATAAGCAAAATAAAAAACATTGTTCATAAATTGAAAGCGCTACAACAAACAGTTGATGAAAACATGATAATTTCGAAAATTATATCTACCCTACCTGAAAACTACAGATATTTTGTAACGGCTTGGGAGTCGATGAATACAAACGAAAGAACCCTTGAGAAATTAACAGCAAGATTGTTAGTAGAAGAAGGGCGGAACAAAGTTAAAGAAAATGAAAGTGAAGTTGCTTTCCAAACAACTGAGAGAAGAACTAGAAAACCCAACATAAAAGATGAAAAAAAATTGAAAGAAGAAAGAAAATGCTTTAAGTGCGGAACTGTAGGACATATTGCAAGAAACTGTTCAGGTGAAGGTACAAGTAGGGAAACAACCCCAGGAAGAAGAAAGTATAAAGAATGCAGCATATGTAAAAAGACAAACCATCTCGAGCAGAATTGTTTTTTTAGAAGGAAAACAAATCATGACAGAAATAAGATAGCTTTCCTAACTGAAAACGGAAACTCCAGTAGTCAATATTTTGTTGTGGATTCCGAAAGCTCATCGCATATGGCAAATTCAAGAGATATGTTCATTAACTTAACAGAAACACAGTCAAGCATAAACGTAGCAAAGAAGAATGAGAAAATGATAGCAAAAGAAAAAGGAACAATCGAAACGGAGTCATGCATATTGAATGACGTTCTGTACATACCAGATTTGCGAAGAAACCTGCTCTCAGTAAGTGCAATTACAGAAAACAATGGGGAAGTAACATTTACAAAAGAAAAGGTAATAGTAAAGAAAAACGATAGAAAAGTACTGGAAGGAAATAAGCAAGAAAATGGTATATATGTTATAGATTTGAATAAGAAAATAGACGAAGAAGAAGAGAGTTACTTAGCGGAAGAAACTAAATTAAAACTATGGCATAGAAAACTTGGGCATATGGGAATAGAAAATCTAAAGAAGCTAACAGAACAATCAATTGGAATGACATTAAATAAAAAGGAAATGAATAAATTAGAAGAAATATGTGAAGTTTGTTTACAAGCTAAACAAACTAGACTTGCGTTTAATACAGTAAGAAAAAGGGCAAAAAGACCGCTTGAAATTATACACACAGACATTTGTGGACCGATAGAACCGATAACATGGGATGGAAAAAGTTATATCTTGACAGTTCTCGATGACTATACACATTACAGTAAAGTTTATTTGCTAAAAACCAAAGATGAGGCATCTGAATACTTAAAGGAGTTTATAATGGAGGCTGAAGCTTATAAAAATGTAAAAACACACAAAATTCGGTGTGACAATGGTGGTGAATATGCGAATGCCAACTTCAAGCAGTGGTGCAGAAACAAAGGAATAATTTTAGATTACACCATACCTTATAGTCCGCAACTAAACGGCAAGGCAGAGAGGCTTAACAGGTCACATTTAGAAAAGGCAAGAGCCTTAATATTCGACTCTAAATTAAACAAAGAATTTTGGGGTGAAGCGGTTTATGTAGCTACCTACTTACTGAATAGAAGCCCTACGGATACAGTAATAAAAACTCCCACTGAATGCTGGACTGGAGAAAAGCCAAACCTATCAAGATTACAAGTATTTGGATCAATCGCGTATGCGAAAGCATTGGGTTATGTTAAAAAACTTGATTCGAGAAGCAAAAAGTATATATTCGTAGGTTATTCACTAAATGGTTATCGACTTTGGGATGAGAAATTAAGAAAAATAGTGGTATACAGAGATGTGATATTTGGAGAAACAAAAGAAACCTTAGGCGAAACTGTAATTGTTCATATACCAGAAGATAAAGAACTTGAAGAAACAAGTGAAGAACCTGAAAATGAAAACTTGAGAAACTCGGAGTCCAGTACCAGTGAAGAGATGATTAGTATAGATTCCGAAGAAAATGAACAAGAAGTTGCAAGATTAGGAGAAGGAGAAAATTATCCAGAGACAAGTAGAGGAAGAAAAATAAAGCTGCCAGAAAGATTTAAAGATTATGTACTGGAAACAGAAGAAGAAGCATTATTAACATATCATGAAGCAACAAACGGACCCGAAAAGGAACAATGGACAAGTGCCATAAATGAAGAAAAGACATCGTTAAAAAAAAACAGTGCTTGGGTGTACATAGACAAAACTGAAGTGAAAAATAAGAAAATTCTGACGAGTAAATGGGTTTTCCGAGTAAAAGATGATGGCAAATACAAAGCGAGACTAGTTATAAGAGGATGTCAACAAAGAAATGGTTTTGACTACAATGAAACGTTTAGCCCTGTCATAAATACAACTTCTCTTCGAATTTTATTTGCATTAAGTGCTAAAAATGACATGAAGATAACAAAATTTGATATAAAAACAGCGTTTCTGTATGGGGACCTAGTTGAAGAAATATTTATGGAAATACCAGAAGGGTTCGAATGCAAAGACAACGAAAATAAAGTCTGTCAACTAAAAAAGGCTCTGTATGGACTAAAACAAGCGCCTTTAAAGTGGAACGAGAAATTTAGTGGTTTCTTAAAATCAAATGGATTAATTTGTCTGAAAAGTGATCAGTGTCTGTTTACCAATAAACAGCGAACTTTATGTCTAGCGATATACGTAGATGATGGTATCGTGTTCAGCAGAGATGAAAAGGAACTGTTAAATCTAATGAAAAGTTTAAAACAACAGTTTGAAATGACAATGTGTGAAAATCCTGATAGATTTTTAGGAATAGATATTTCACAACAACCTGGTAAAATAA